GCTACTACCTGCCGAGATAAACTACACTGCCAATGAATGTGAGGTTCTCGCAGTAGTTTATGCTACCCRGCATTGGCGTCATTATCTGCACGGGGCGCCCTTCACGGTGCGCACGGAYAACTCAGTTGTCCAGGCTTTCCTCACGAAGCCTAAGCTCTCCCCTCGACAGGCACGCTGGTGGTGTGACTTATCCGAGTTCAGTTTCACCACTCAGCCCATCAAGGGTGAAACGAACCACGTCGCCGATGCTTTGTCCCGCCGTCCTGATCACAATCAGGAACCCATCCATCTTGCTGCCATCTCCATCACCAGTGTTGATCAGTCGGTGATCGACGCGTATCGCACTCAGTACCGCCACTGCCCCGATTATCGCGTCATCCACGCGACACTGCGGAGTGGCAAGACCGTTCCTTCCTACTCCCTCGGGGAGAACGGCCTCGTGTACTGGCATGGCAGATCTGGTCAGCTATAACCACGTATCTGCGTTCCCTCCACCGGACAGCTCCGCGTCCAGGCTGTAGCAGAGTTCCATGACCAGGCAGCTGCCGGTCATATGGGTTTCCACAAGACGTTGGCTCGTGTTTGCCGCCTATACGTCTGGCCGAAGTCCAAGGACTTTGTCAAAGCCTACATCCAGGAGTGTCCTACCTGCCAGGAGGTGAACAGTGCGAATCACCTTCCGTATGGGTTACTTCAGCCCCTGCCCATACCTGAAGGTCGTTGGCAGTCTATCTCGATGGATTTCATTGGTCCCCTCCGCCCACCCACTCAGCGTGGTCATGATGCTATCTTGGTCGCCGTCGATCGCTTCACGAAGCGTGCACGTTTTGTTCTGTGCCGCTATCGCATTAGCACTCGTGAGGTCACCGACATCGTCTTCTACCGAGTCGTGAGAGATCACGGCTTACCTCAGAGCATCATCTCCGACCGTGACCCGCGCTTTACCAGCACATTCTGGCGACGCCTACACGATGTGTACGGATCCGAGCTCCGCTTCTCATCGTCTTACCACCCTCAGACGGATGGTCAGGCTGAGATCACCAACAAAACTCTCGGTAATATCCTCCGAAAGTTTGTTTGGGATGACCAACAGTGGGACTTACACTTAGCCCACGCGGAGATTGCGTACAACCACGCTGTTTCGCCAGCCACGAGGATATCGCCATTCTATTGTGACCTCGGCTACCACCCTCGCGTACCTGCGGATTTCCTACGACCATCGCGGTTGCGCCCAGACACTCGTTGCCCTGCGCTTGACGACTGGATCGCCCACATGGCGGCGATTATGAAGCGCGCACACGAGAGTTTAGCCGACTCCCCGACTCGCATGGCCGCACGAGCGAACCGATCACAAATGGATCATCCATTCAAAGTCGGTGACGATGTGCTCGTCGACGCACGCCACTTACAGCTCGAAGCAGATATGCTTCGCAAGTTCAGGCGTCGTTTCTTCGGTCCATGCCGCATCCTTCAGGTCGTCGGCTCTGATACTGCCGCTAATCCGGTCAGCTTCCGTGTGAAGCTACCTGATTACCTTCGACAGGCTCGCGTACACGATGTTTACCACGTCTCCTTGCTGCGTCCTTATCGCAGACCGTCCGAGCGCTTCGCCGGACGCCCTTATGAGCGCCCTCCACCTATTATGGTGGATGGTCACGGGGAGTTCGTTGTTTTCGACATCGTATCACGCCGAGTTACCGACGATACCCCTCCACGCATCGAGTACCTTGTGCGTTGGAAGGACTACCCTGATGAGGAGGCTACTTGGGAGCCCCTCGAGCACTTGCGGCAGGCCAGGATGTTGGTGCGTGCATATGATCGTGCTCGTCGTGTTGGGACATCTGCTTCTACTCAGCCGACTGACCCTCTTCCTCCTCCTCCGGCTGAGGAGATCGCTGAGGATGAGCCCGCTCCCTCTGAGGCCGTTCCTCAGCCGCAAATGGTCGCCTCCGAGCGTCCACAGCGCACTCATCGTCGCCCTTCACGTTACGATGACTGAGACTTTTATCCTCCATCTTTCCCCACTGACTCACACCATCAGGTACTCCATCATCATCTCTTCTTCAGGATGTCAGCGTTTTGTGGCTCTGCTTCGACATCGACTCGATTGCTACTTCATCGACGTCATCGACCGACTCGGCGACTTCAGCTACCTTATCGGCTTCAGCTACTTTGGACGTGACTACTTCACGCCACCACCATACCCTGTACATTCCCTTGCATCAGTCGCATGATGGTTCTCACTTAGCTGGGTCTCTTTGAGTTGGGCTCTCCCTTGGTATCGCATAGGCATCGGGACCGTAGCTTTATCTTGGCTTCCCTGCTCCCAGATCTAGCTCCTTCCTCCCCCAGTCGGTGAGTTGTGTGCATGTTTCCCTCACCCACTGCCCTCATCACCCTAGTGTCGGCCCTTGCATGCCTTCAGTTAGGCATATCTCCACCCTATTCCAGGCTCCCCCTTTTCATGGTCGACCCTGCATGGTGTCACCCTTGTCGAGCATTACCCGCCTTTATGGTCTATCTGTTAGGGTCATTGGTTTTGTTTCGCTACCACTCTCTCACCTTGAGCCTGATGACCTATCCCACCTTCATGTGTAACTGTCCTTAGGAGTTTCGATTCTTAGGCTGCATTCACCCCCTCTGAGACCATCCCACTTTTAGTGGTTCAGCGACATGACATTATCTTGTGACATATTGCTCTTCTCCTTTCAGCACTGAGGCCACTGCCTCCAGGACTTTAGGAGTGTATCATACTACATTTCATTTTCTGTTGTTAGCTAGGATATGTATACCAAATATTTGCTTTTCTTTTGACATGATATAGCTTAGGATGCATCGCATGGACTCTGCATGGAGCTTGCTCCACATCCTAGATTTCTCAGCTTTCTTTATTGCAGAGTTCCGTTGCTTTTGCGGATAGCATGTTTATGGCTCTTGCGATCCATTACAGGTCTGAGGATCGTGCAGCGGGCCTTCATCTGCCCTGGCCCACAGTCAGGGCCTATTTGGCTATTTGCCAGTCTGGCCTGTGGGACCAGGCCGTGGCCTGACCCCACAGGCCGTGCGGTTATTCAGTCCAGTCCAGTCCTGCCCGGTACCACTGTCGGTACCAGTCCAGTCCAGTCCAGTCCAGTCAGTCCGCTGGGGGTATACCCCAGCTGCAGTCTGTTTTGTGGCTCATTCTTCATCTACACAGATTGGAGTACGTGCGTGTTGAGTCTGCGTTGGAGTTGTGCTGTCCCTTCCAGCTCCATCTCCATCTCCCCCATCCTCATCCCTTCGTTTTGATCCTGACGGACCGCCATCCCGACGGGTCCGTCACATTCCGTGTGCTTCTTCCCTTGCAGTGTGGTTGCCTTGCTTGTGCTGCCTTGTGCTTCACTATACGGTTGCTATGTTGTTCTTCCGCTTGACATGTCGTTCCTTCCAGTCGCCTTTGGCGTTGTGCAGCCGTGTTGTCTCTACTGGTTGCCTCGTGCTCCGCAGGGTTGCTGCCCGCTGTTATGTTCCGCATGGAGACAGTCTGCCTTCAACATGGGTCAAAGGGTTCATGACGCAAACCATCAAATACGGAGATTCTGCAGATTGTGGAGGGTTCAGCCTCCTGATGAGTTGGTGCAACTCCGACGAGACAACCTATCATCATCAGTTTTTATTTTTTTCAGTTTTTCTGGTTTCGGTACTTGCCTTGTCCACTGGTTGTTCTCGTTTCCCTGCCTTATGTGCTTGTATGGTCTGCCCTCCTGCCTCCCCCGTGCCCTCCAACCTATGTGTTGTCTCAAGTTTTTTGCTTCCCCGTGTGCCCTCCAGTCTATGTGCCCTGTTGTGTGGCTTGTGCCTTGTCATCCAACAGCACATTGCCTCCCTGCCCCTCGGCTTTGTTCTCGTACCTTTGCCCCTTCTTCTGTGTTTGTTTGTGATGTACTGTTGTGTGTGCACAGGATCATACCGCAGCTGCACTTGAAGCAATAACGCTCCCGCATAGTTTTTTCCCACCTTACACAGATGGATGCATATGTCCCACGCCTACAAGTAACCACTATGCACACTAGACGTTTTGGCGAACCCTGTCGAGTTTGCACAAGCTGCGTCATTGGTAGGGTACACTAAGCCTGCATAGTGAGTGACCACAGTGTGCCGATGTTTTTGAACGTTGGAGCTTGTCAAGCATAGCGTTTGTGCCATGATGTGCCTGCATGCACACGCACAACACACACACACACGCACACACACGCAATCACTTTTATGTTTGTAGGCCGTTCTTCTGTTGTCTGTCCTTTGGTTTTGTACGTCGTTCTTCTGTTGTCTGTCCTCCCCCTGATTTTTTCTAAGTATTTATTTTGTGTGCCCAACTGAGCACCCTTAAGTAGTGCCAAACAGTCGGTGGTTCCTCTTTTGGAGTGCCTACTGCACTCTTATGGGGGCCGCTCGGTTCGGGTTGTCTGTGTTGCCTATAGGTGATGACAGATGCTCGTAGAGTGACTCCCTGGCTCAGCGGGTTGTGGGAACCAACAGTCTGCGGGATCCAATCGTGATGTGAGTAGGTCATGTGCTGCTTTGCTCCATGTTGGATGTGTGGACTGCCTTGTTTGTGCTCTGCCAGTGCCTTGCTGCCTGTTCCGCTGGCGTCGCATGCAGTTCTCTGCATATTGCTGTGTTCGCTGTGCGGTATGGGCGTGTTGTTGGTCTTACCTTGCACTTCACTGCTCCACTGTCGTGGTGCTCATCCGCTGGCCGTGCCTTCCGTGTTTGCCGCTGGTGTGCCCTGTAGGTTGGTTGCCTTGTTGCTGGTGCCTTGTGCTCCGCTCCACGGTTGCCGATCTGCTGGTCTGCTCACCCTGTCGTCCCCTGCAGTGCTGTTGCCTTGCTTGTGTTGTCCTGTGCTTCACTACACGGTTGCCGCGCTGCATGCCGCTTCGTTGTCGTACCTTTGCCCCTTCTTCTGTGTTTGTTTGTGATGTACTGTTGTGTGTGCATTGGGTCATACCTCTTCTGTGTTTGTTTGTGATGTACTGTTGTGTGTGCATTGGGTCATACCGCAGCTGCATTTGAAGCAATAATGCTCCGGCATAGTTTTTCCCACCTTCCGCAGATGGATGCATATGTCCCACGCCCACAAGTAACCACTATGCACACTAGACGTTTTGGCAAACCCTGTCGATTTTGCACAAGCTGCGTCGTTGGTAGGGTACACAACGCCTGCATAGGGAGTGACCACAGTATGCCGACGTTTTTGAACTTTGGAGCTTGTCTAGCATAGCGTTTGTGCCATGACGTGCCTGCATGCACACACACACACACACACACACACACACACACAAACACGCACACACACACTGACACACACACACGAACGCACCCTCTCTTTCTCTCTCTCTCTCTCTCTCTCTCTCTCTCTCTCTCTCTCTCTCTCTCTCTCTCTCTCTCTCTCTCTCACGCGTGCGCGCAGAGACACAGAGAGACAAAGAGAGGGTACGCGTTCCCTCCCAATAGCGCACATTTTTTTATTTATGTTTTTGTTCCTCCAATCAAATAATCAATCAATCAATTCATCAGTCAACAAGAAACGAAACACAATCCATCAATCAATCATTATTTTTATTTTTTTATTTTTTTTTACGTGTTTTAATGATCATTATTTTAAAAAAATCTAAGAACAGACCAAAAACGAAAAAAAAAGAAAGGGTTGTAGAGCACCAAATGCTCTTCAACCCCTTCTTTTGTTTTTTCTCTATTTTTTCGTATGGTGGGCAGGTTTGTACGGCGGTCGTACGAACGGGCGCTCAAACGTTCGTACGGCCATACGACGAAACCCCCATACGACGTACGGGGGTCGACACAGCTGTAGGGGCATTGTAGTCGTACCTGGGAAAGGCAAGGGTGCTTCAAGAATCAAGCAAGTAGCCCTTCTCTCTTATTAACTGTTTGGGACATATGAGAGTGGGTCGCCTGGGCCCACAGATTGATTTCCGCTCTGCTACCTTTTTCTTTTTTTTTCCCTGTATTGAAGGCGACATCTATTGGTGGCGCGCAGCACCTGCTGGAAATCGGGTCCAACGTCCCTATAAAATACAAGTGTTCTGTAATCAGATCTGATTCTGTAGTGTTCTCAAACTGCTAGTCCAGTCTTCACCCGAATAGAACGCCCGGTCATTATAGCTGCATTCGGCCCATCTTTCAGTCCAGAAGCAGCGATAATGACTGGGCGATCTATTCGGGTGAAGACGGTAGTCCAGTCTTATGTGTTTCAGACCATCATGTGTACAGTGTGTGTGTCCCTGTGCATCACAGAGGAATTGTATAATGTCTTACGTAAGCAGGATTGTATTGTGCCCTATCTGCTAGAGCATTCTGTGTAAGCTGTGGGAGCATATTCTTTGAAAAAGAAAAAAGAAAAAGGAAAAGAAGGAAAAAAAAAAAAAGCTGTTTCCAAGTGTTGTTGTCTGCTTGTAGGCAATGTGACCGGAGTATCCACACTAACTGCCAGGGTTGTCAGGCGGGGGCCCCCGGGGGCAAAGCCGGGGTAGGGATTTGACCCCCGGACCCCCGCCTTGGGGGTGCCCC